ACTGTCCAATCCTTGTGTTCCTGTGCGAATTGGAGACGTTTTATCTTGGTAACTGCAGACAGCAAAGGTGTTCGAACAGGCCTTCGGCTTCCATATCCCATAGGATGCAGTGTACGGCTAATTTGCCTACAAATGTCAGGTGGTCATAATAATCTGGCCACTCACTGTATATATTTAAGGTGTTCAATGTGATGTTCTGTGAAATAATGACTGAGGGTGGGTGGGTAGAGACTGGGGGGGATAAAAAGTGGGGGGATCAAAAGGGGGTGAAATGGGAGCTATCTATAATACTATCAACAATAAAAACTATATTAAAAATAAAGTGGAAAAACCTGAAAAAAATTATCATCATCAAGCTAATTAACATATCCATCACTTCACAGCATTTCTATTTCTCTCTCTCTCTCTCTGTGTGTGTGTGTGTGTGTGTGTGTGTGTGTGTGTATTGAAAGAACACTTGAGATCTATCTTAGCAAATGTCAAGCATAAAATACATTATTACTAACTATAGTTACCATGATGTAAATTAGATCTCCAGAACTTCATCTTATAAATAAACACATGTACCCCGTAACCAACATCTCTCCTTTCTCCACTCACCCCTGTCCCCAAACCCTGGTAACCAGCATTTGACTCTCTGTTACTATTAGTTTAACATTTTTTAGATTCCATGTATAAGTGAGATGCAGTATTTGTCTTTCTGTGTCTGGCTTATTTCACTTAGCATAATGTCCTCCACGCTCATTCACCCATGTTGTTGTAAATGGCAACATTTCTTTCTTTCTTTTTTTAAAGGCTGGATAATATTGCATGGTAGATAGATAGATAGATAGATAGATAGATAGATAGATAGATAGACATACAGACAGCACATTTTCTTTATCTATTCACCCACTGATGAACACTTAGGTTGTTTCCATATCCATATCTTGGCTACTCTGAATAATGTTTCAATGACCATGGGAGTACAGATATCTCTTTGAGATAGTGATTTTATTTCCTTTGGATATATACTCAAATCTATAAATGGATTAAATGTATAATGAAGGCCCTTGGTGTTCTGTTTTGAATGGGAAATGCAGAGGTGACACAGCCCCTGCCTTTCATTATAAAAGGAGGAAGGAAAAATGCAGCAGTATTTCAGCTGCAAGTACTTACTAAGTCCCTGGCATGCACCAGGCACTGAGGTGGGTGCTTGGGGTTTATCTGGGAACAAAACAGAGCCCTGCTTTTGTGGCACTCATATCCTTTTGTGTTGCAGGTTGATAAAAATGAGGATTGATCACCTATTGACTTTCCTATTGTGAAAATATGCAGAGATCTTTTTGAAATAGTGGTGCCCTGGTCCCACCACTGATAAAATGAATTATAATCTCTGGGAGTTGAGCTGGGCTTAGAAGGTTTTTCAAGTTCCCCAGGTGATTCTGATGTACAGCCAGGGCTCAGAACCACTGAGCTAAATAGTTAGACAAAGTAGCTATAAATTTCCATGACTAAGTACCTAGCCAGACCCACTTAGGAACTAGCTTCCTAAGCATCTCTTAAAAAAGAAACAAGCCACACACAGAGCAGAGTGAAGTTCAGACAAAGGCTCATCATTCTATAAGCAAAATTAGGCTTTAGTTCTGACCAGTCAAAACAGCCAGAGAGAAATAAAGAACTGATTTGGTCACTGGCAATAACCTTGTTGACTTCAATGACCTTGATGTACAAGATAGTTCTTTAAATAAAAACAACACGTGTTAGGAGATTCATTTTA